GAGTCCCCTGTAATTTTTGCTGCATGTGTTTTTCTATCACATAGCAGGGCAGGTAAAAGAAGTTTACCTGTTGGAGGTGAGCTGTTTGCAGAGGTGCAGTAAGAGTCTGTTGTCTGCAGCTCTTCATCAAACATCTCACTGTGGCTGTTCATGATTTTACTCTTCCCCCCTGTGGCATTATTAGACTTGTCTTAGTTGAAGAAAAGCCGCTAATAAAGTCTCGCTAATTCTGTAATAAACATATTTCAATTCCTACAGAGTCTTAAAAATAAAACTCCCCCATTATTTTGTTATGTAAAAATTTTTATTGTGAAGCAGCAAAATAAGGAAATGTTTTTGAGCTGCAACTTCATACAACTTCTAATACGGTGGATAGCAAACATGAAACAGCAAAATAAAGCAGAAAGTACAAACAGGACGCAGCAGAGAAACTAAACTCCAAACCACAGAGATTCAGTTAGAAACTTCAGACGTACTGAGAGCTGAACACACAGAGACTTTTTAAAAAGCCTTTCTCTCTGGCCCCCTGCAGACAGAGGTGAGGAGAGTCTAACAACACACACAGCTTATTTGCGGGGGGGATGGTCAGGAGTTGGCTGCAGCCGGCGATGCGTCACCGCAACAATAGCAGGCGGCCCGGACCTACTCTGGAGAAGGAGTAGGTGTGCAGCTCGGCGTGGCACCATGCGTCTAAACTGATAACGGATAACGGCATGGCTTAACAGGACGCGGCTAAAAGTTACAGAGGAAAAGGCCCACAGTATTGTAAGTGTGCCACTGTGGTTACTTCATTCATATCACAGAGTCATTTAGTGTAGCACGTGCAACATATAGACCGATATCATACTGTATACAAATGAACAGACAGATTAAACAGAGGAGCAGCTCTGTGTCTCTCTTAAACCGAAATTATACTTTCTGTGTGCGCGCGCATGCGCACTTGTGCACTAGGACACCCCCCCCCCAAATTTCTGAAAAACACAAATTGTCCTTCCCCAATTCTAAATAGAAATGATTGAAATTGAACAAATGTATTTTCTGACTCCACATTCCCAATTCTAAAATAAATCAAAATTGTGGAACAAATATTTTTATAAATATATTTTCCAACACCACATTCCATCTCTAGCCTACTACCTGCTCTGCTGTAATAGAGTGCCAAAGTCACGCCCCTTCCTGTGAGGCTCATGGGACCTTAGTTTGGAAAAAATATGAATGGCAGAGAATGAGGAGAGAAATATTATCTTTTGGTCCCATTTGAGTGACATGAAATCCAAATATTTCGTTAATGAATTTAAAACATAAATTTTAAGGTCAAGAAAGTCATAATTTGTGGTAAAACTGTTGAGATATAAGCTTTTGAAAAAAACGTAATTAGAAAAACTACACAGGAGGCGGTCGCGTATGTGACGTCATAGCCTTCGCTCGTTTCCAGCAGCTTGGAGTGACTGCAACCTGGCACACAACACACAGACATCTTCAATTATAAATTGATTAATCATAAAACAGTGGAATTTCAGCGGGGAGGCCAAGCTGCAGGAAGCGAGCGAAAGCTATGACGTCACATATGCAACCTCCTCCTGTGTACTCTTGAGGCTTTCTAATTACAAAGCTTATATCTCAACAGTTTTACCACAAAGTATGACTTTCTCAACCTTAAAATTTATGTTTTAAATTCATTAACAACATATTTAGATTTCATGTTGCAACTCAAACGGGATCAAAAGATAATATTTCTCTCCTCATTCACTGCCATCCATATTTTTTCCGATCTAAGGTCCCATGAGCTTCACCAGAAGGGGCGTGACTTCGGCACTCTATGCAACTGTGGGTGGGTAACTTTATTAAAAAAAAAAAAAACAAAAAAAAAACTGATCTCTCTCCACTTTCTCTCAGCCACTGGAACGTGGCCATCGGCTGGTGCTCTCACAGTAGTCAGTAAAATGTCTTTCTGTGAGTAATTTTGATTGAAACTTCCTCAAGAAAAGGAAAGTGTGCCCATAAAAGATTTAAAAACGTAATCAGATTCTGTTTGCCACCTCAAGTGAAGTAACTTATCCCTAGCCAGATCCATATTTAGAGTAGCTGATGAGGAGAACTGGGAATCTGTGAGAGGCAAGAGATGAGAACGTGAGCGGACATAATATGCCTGAGACCCTGAAACTAGAAGTAGCATTAATTAACAGCGAAGCAGTGAAAAGGAGGGTGATGGCTGGCCTCATGAACTATTGGCTGTTTAAGAGAAATAAGCAGAAAAGGTAAGCATTTGATTCTCTGTGTATTGCTTTTTGAATGACTTGGTGATGGTGATGAGCCTCTATGAAATCGTGAAATATGCTGGCAATCTCAAGCGCTCTGTGGGTATGATTTGCACGCGTGCAATTAAACAAAAAAAAATCACAACTGATTGTGTCCCCCCCAATTTTGTCATCAGATCTACACCCATGGCGAGGAGGTGCGCCAGTACCCGCACCTGTACAACCCCTCCCTCAACACCTACACAGATGCACAAATGACAGACAACTCTTGGGGCGGGAACAGACAAAGAAGCTCCTCTTCCATGCGCACCACCATTTTTCTTCCCGTGCTCAGGAGTGCTCACAGCGGAAACTATATTTGGAACAGATGCACGTCTGCGTTCGCGTATGTGCAAAGTATAACGCTGGCCTTAGTGTTGCTGGAGAAACTGTGAGTGAGTGGGGCGGAGCTGTGCGGAGTGTGTGAGACGGAGAGATGAACACTGGTATGCGTTATGTGGCGCAACTTGAACCTATATCGATATAAACGGTATGGTCTAAATCTTTATCTTGCTTGAAAATATATCAATATATTGTAATAAATCGATATACCGCCCAGCCCTAACTATAACTGCACATCGATTGAAACATGATGTCCATTCAAACTGATTTGAGCTTGAAGGCAAAGCTTCAAACCCAAAATAGATGGTAAAACACAAACTCACAAACATTTCAGCCAGGGCCAGATGCATGACATTTGTGTAGATTCACAACTAAAACTCTGTATAAGCACAAAGACAAAAATTTGCAGAACCGCTAATTTTCTCTAGATACATAAAGCTGTGCGTATGCATGTGTTCAAGCCTAATTTTCACTCCCATCGTTAGTCATAAATAGATGAGACACTCCCCCAATCATTTTTTGCATATCAACACCTGTGTCAGTGTCCTCACTTTTCAGACCTGTCCATCAAGAAAAAAGCAAGGAAGAAGTGCAGTTTTGCCTAATGTGCCACATCAGTGAGGTTTTACATCGATGCAGTGCAACCGTCGTTACACATGCCTATTGCTACTCCTAACACCCATATTTATAATTCAGATCATGCCCCTGTAAACCATAATCCGTGGTGATATCTCAGTCATCACTATCAAAGGTCAGAAAAATAATCAGTGGTTTAGTTTATAGTGCTAATGTCAGAACAGGCTCTAATAAATGATAAAATGAAAAGAACATTAACACAGGGAAATAAAATGATGGATTCAATGGAAAAAACAATGATACATTCAATCTGTACTAACTGTACTTTGTCAAAATGACATTTATGAATCTGCCTTGGTGAGCATTTTAGAAAGCACTACACTGCATGTCTCTGCAAAGCACTCGTGTTAAACTTACAGATTTCATCCATGTCTATTAAATCATGGATGCTTCACTCACATCTTCTCCCAAGCAGCACAGAAGATCTATACAATCAGCACACTTTAAAGGCGCTGTATGTAAGAATGTGGCCAAAACGGTTACTGCACTCAAATTCAAAATACTGCCGTGAGTCGTGTCCGCCTCCCCTCCCCTACAGATTCGAGGTTGCTGGACAGCGGCATGCTGGAGACTGATTTGTTTGCCCACGCGCGGCTGCCGTGACAGGGCCAGAATGCCGCGTCCTTGATCTTCGGTTTTCCAGCGGACCGTTCGAGCAAGTCCAGCTTCTCTGCTGCTAACGCTGCTGCCGGGATACAGCTGAGGAGACTGCTAATGCTGCTTGCCGTGCTGCTGTAGCTCAGTGGTAACTGTAACTGATGCTGAGACTCTACTGACTGTGTGACTGGTAGACGGCGGTGGGTGGCGCAACAGGCCAAAACACAAATTCAAAACATAAACATGATTTGCGGACCGTAAAACTTTTTTTTAAATGCGAATATTCTGGTCGTACTATTGTTGTCGGTGAGATCAGTATGTTATATGAACATAATTCCTTAGTCTCTGTGACATATTAGGAGGATTTTACGACTATTTGCTTTAGATTTCTTACATATAGCTCCTTTAAAGGTGGACACCTAAGATTAGAGTCACCAATTCAGTATCACACCAAGTGTCTCCCATTATATCCTGAGATAAGATGTTGAGTAATGGCCATCAAAAATGCTTTCGCAGAGCATCATGTCACAGTGAAATTGACCTTTTGGATATAAATGTGATCACTTTATCATTTTGTCCTTTTAGACATGTGTGTACATTTTTTGTCATAATAAGTGTATCCCCAGCAAAATGGAGTCAAAATGGACGTTTGTGCCAAATTTGAGGAAGCTCTCTCAAGGCCTTCTTGAGATATTGCATTGAAGATTGAGACAGACACAAGGTCACAGTAACCTTTGACCACCAAATTCTAATTAGTTCATTGTTGCGTCCAAGTGAACATTTATGCTAAATATGAGGAAATTCCCTCAAGGCGTTCTTGAGGTATCATGTTCATAAGAATGAGATACACACAAGGTCACCATGACCTTGACCTTTAAGCCCCAATATCCAATCAATTATCACTGAGTCAATGTGGACGTTTGTGCCAAATTTGGTGGAATTTCCCCCCAAGTGTTCTTGAGTACTGACGGACGGACGGATAACCCAAAGACATAATGCCTCCAGCTGTGGCTGTCGCCATCACGGAGGCATAAAAACAGACTTCCCAACCCCAGTTACTCCTAAAGCTATAATTATGAATGAATAATCTGTTAAAGATAACAACAAATGATATTTATAAACACTTACAATGAACTGCTCCACGTCCCTCTCCATGCCCACGTTAGGCAGATCTGGCATCATGTGGGCAACTACTTTGAAGCCAGCATCCTTTGAAAGGTGGAAAGACTCGCATACTGCTCGCACCGTGTGACCTCTGGAAGAAACAGGCATGTCCAGATACACAGTTAAATTACTAAGCCTGAAGGTAAAAGAAATAAATACATTATTTATCCATCACACACCATCAGAGCAGCTGCTATCACGCCATGTCTGCTTCCTTATCTACATCCCTCCGTTTAGTCCCTAACCTACTGACCTGTTGGTGTCTCGGGCCACATCTTCATACACACTCTGGACCCCTATCTCGAGCCGGGTGCAGCCATAGCCCAGCATATCACTGAGATGTCGCTTCAGGCAGTAGTCAGGCCGTGTCTCGATGGTGATTCCCACACACTTGGTGTTACTGCGCTCAGAGTACCTGCAGGACAAAACTGTCTCAGTAATATCTTATAATATAATTCTAGTTTTGACATAATGTTTTTTTGACTATTTAGTCTTATTGACCATGTTGGAGTGCTCCATATGCTGGGATCATTAACCAACATCAATTTACATGCTGTGAGATTGCACGGCTCATTATCCAGACACTAACCTCACATTAGGACACACTAATGCAATAACGGAAACAGAGGATAGCAAAAAAATGTTGGTAAAGCAAAAAATATGAAATGACACATTAATGAGTGTTTACTTTGTGTCAAAGCAGCAAATACTGCAGTTAAATACTGAAATTATTCAGTCATTTAGAGGTCTTAATTATACCAAGATGTAGATTACTGAGCACAACGAAGTTATTATTTTACTAAATTTTAAGGATAGTACCATATATCAATTTTATGTGGCTATTATCAATATCTCTTTAATAACAAGGGATTAAATGAGTGTGTTTATTATGAGAGGAGTTTCTTGCAGTGATGGACACACAGATATTTATCCTTCGACTATGTAGGTCCCCTAAGCATATTAATGCGGGTTTAATTATTTTAGCAATTTGTACTGGTCGACTTCGATGGGGCGAGGGACTGAAGACAGCCATGAGGAACAGGAGTCAGCTATACAACAGCCTCAACTGGACAATAGGTTGCAGCGGTATACCAGTTTCAATGTATACTGTGATCTTAAAGTTGATGGTTATCATACCATGAACATTTGCTATCTAAGATATTGATAAAAATGCAGATAATAATAATAATAATAATAATAATAATAATAATAATAATAATTCTGTAATACCATGACACTGTGAAATCACAGTATTTTCTGAGATGGTTATTGTACCATTGCAACCCTATTTGACAAGCTATCCAGCTATTTCTCATGAACACTTTTAAAGGAAGACTAAAATAAAATAAAATAGATATACACATTATGGATGGGGGCCATAATTAATTTTACACATAGGTAACAATGGTATCTGTATGAATAGGATAGACTTTATAATCCCAGTGGGAAATTGGTCTTGGATATTACAGGGTCTGCAGTACAAAGTTGAACTTTGACCTTTTGACTATTAAATGTCATCACTTTATCCTTTAAAACACTTTTGTGAAATGTTTTCATAATTAGCATATGAATTCCTGAATTATGGCCAAAAACAGGCCTTCTTGAGATATCACAAAATTCACAAAATGAGATGGAAACTGACACAGGGTCATAGTAATCTTTGACCTTTTACCACCAAAGTTAGGTATAGTGGTATAGTAGGAGGTGGCAGCATGCACCTCCTAAGGAAAGGTTGCCATCTGCTATAAAACAGAAAGATGAAGCAAGCTGTAAGAACCATTACATTTCCACAATAAACTAATACAGAGAATTCAATGGAATGCAGGAAATGAAGTGTTTGGCACTTAAATTTGCTTAAGGGAGAACACCCAGACCCCTTGTTTAATATGTGTCTCCCGCTAAATGTTTAAATGAAAAATGCGCCCTATATGCAGCTATATGTAGAAAGTGACTATATTAGACACAGTATGATCCCTTGTCATTCTTCAAATGTAATCTCAAGTAATTTCTGAGCTCCATCTGCCTGAATCTGACTCCACTGCTGCTTCTAAACTTATTTAAGTCACTGTTTGAAATCACAAAAAGACACATCTCAACCCAGCACACCAGCCAGCTGTCATTTTCTCCACTCCAGCTGCTCCAATGACCATTAGCTTCCCTCATGCCAGCACGTATTCCTTCTGATTCTGTATCTGCTGGCAATAAATGTCCATCTTTTACAGTCTGCTGGCTGATTTACACCAATTACAGCAGTTTATGCTTCAGAGAGGATGATCGGATTGTATGAGATGAATCAATAAAAAGTCTATTATCTCAGGCGATTATCTCTACGTATCTCGCTGCTGTGATCAGATCAGGAGCGGGGTTAGCACGGTGACAAACATGCTCACCCCGCATGCACACTTTCTGCGAGAAACAAAAACACATCAAAAACGTCTCTCACACACACACACACACACACACACACACACACACACAGAGGCAGAGATAAGGGCTGTCCCCAGCCAAACCAAGTGCCCCCTTCTTCACAAACTGAGCAGCAGCCACCACAATTACCACAATCACAGCATCTAAACGAAGAATGCTGATAGCAGGGACAATTCACACCTACAAGCCTACACACACAAAGTGACAAACACATTTGGGAAGAGACAAACACTCACACAAACTGGCCTCCTGGGTCTTATCGGACTTTAGGGAATTAAATAGCCCCCGCTGACAAACAAACAGTGAAAAAGCCATTATTTGGTCAAATGGTCTGTATGACGTCTTCAGCTCTTCAACAAATGGGTATTTCTACTTTGACTTTGAACCATCTTGTAGTCTTCTAAAAAGTTGCTACTCATCCATACTGAGCAGACGTGTGGCTAAAGTCATTCAAAGCTGGCCTAACTGGGTAAGTGAGAAATCAATGGAAGTAACTGAAGAGAGTGGCCTTGCTTTTTTTTCTCCTGAATTCTGAATGGGCTCATTCAGCAGCTTAATCTGTGGAGATAACACTACATCTTAACAATCGAGTCTGTAGGATTTAGTGGAATCTAGGGGTGAGGTTGCAGATTGCAACCAACTGAAACCTCTCCTGTGTGCCAAGCATGTAGGAGACCTACAGTGGCTGATACCAAAATGCAAAAATGCAAATGTCCCTATCTAGAGCCAATGTTGTCCATTTGTGGGCTACTGTAGAACAACATGGCAAACTCTGCGGAAGAGGTCCCACTCTGTATGTAGACATAAGCTTCTCATTCTAAGTTAACAAAAACACAATGATTCTTAGTTTCAGGTGCACAATGACACCATAGTTATTAATATTATATTCAATTTCCACCAGTATATCCCTGTAAATCCTCCACACTAGACATTTAACGTCCTACAGCAGTGATTCCTGACGGGTCCAGCCAAGGTCCAGAATTGTCCTTAGTCATTAGTTCAAGGTCCATACAGTTTAAAATATTCTGTGTCATACTTAAATTTGGCTATGTCATCGAGCTAGTTTGCAGTCTCTGTTAAGTAGCTGTCTATTAATCACTCACTCTACAGCAGGAAACAGCACTTCAAAATAAAAGCTTTTGAATAGCTTTTTGAATGGACCTGCGACCTGCAACCCACCAGTTGGAAACCACTGTCCTACAGGATATGTTTTGTTGTGGTAAGTTTAATGGAAAAAGGGGTGGGGTCAAGTGGATGTAAACATCATGTATCATGTATACATCATCATAAACATCATGGTGTAAATCTTTTGCCTGGGTGCAGACTTTTGAATACGCCCACTCCACTGAGTTCAAGTCTCTGGTCTGGCATCGTGACACGAAACAGCGATTTCTCCATTAAAATAAAAAACAACTAATGAGCACTGCAGGGGCACTAACGATTAGCCAGGTGGCACCATGGGCGGGACTAACACCGTTGTCAAGGTGTTGTCAAGCGGTATTCCAGAAACACTGAGGAGATATAACAACAATGCCAAGTGCCATAGACAAGACAAACACTGCTATCAGGCTGTCCTAAATCGACTTGTCTTTTCAATATCACTTGACAGTGTAGTTTGTTTTTAATTCACTCTGCTCCACTCTTAAAAGCCCTGAAAAAAAAGGTATGACAGCATGGCAACCAATCAGTGTGGACTCAAAATGACATTAGACTGGGTCCGCTGGCAATGGTGATGTATATTCTGTTCTCATTGCTGAAATTAGCAGCGGCTCTAATGTGCCAGCTACAACAACTGTCTTGTGTGCAGACTCCGCCAATTCAGTGCACCACAGGTGTACGCCAGTGTGCTAATGTGGCAGACTCATTCAGGCAGATCCGATGGTCTTGAGTGATTGGTTAGGGAAAATCAAATCCCCCTTCACCACAGAAAGTGGTTAGAGTGAACACAATGTCAGACTGACAATGGAAACAGAGTGTAATAAGTTGACAACAGTCTGATAACAGGTAAGTAAATGCTCGATAGAATATGGTACAACACTTCCCATGTTGCATAGCACACAAACTGCACAGGCAATGATTGAGAGAATGAGTGCAGAGAAGAAATGGATGTAATGCTCAGTTCTTAATTATAGTCACTGTTTTTTATTTGAGTGTAAAAAAATGTCAGGAGGCATGAATTTAATAGGGCTGAGGCAATTAGTCGAATTATGGATTAGTTGAAAGACAAAAAATTAACTGACAGTTTTTATAATTAGGTAATTAATTAGGTTGTTTATAAGGGAAAATCACAAACAATTCTCTGCTTACAGCTTTTTGAATATAACTGGTTTCCTACAGCTTGAGGTAAGTTAGATCTAAGACTTTGTAATGCCACTCGCAATGAAATCTAAGGCGTATTTTAAAGCATTTTTTAAAAAAATTAAAGCATAATTGAAGGAAAAAACACATATGAACCAACATCAGTTTACTCAGGATTAGAGATTATTTTGCCCGAATGTTTACTTTAACAGAAAACAGGTTTTTTGCCAAGTTTTCTCTTGATTTTAAGAATCTCTTTCTGCATGTGGAATTACACTGCCTTGACTCCATTGTACTGAGTTTTAAAAAAGCATTTTGCTTTCAGCCATGCCAAAAAATCTCAGTTAAAGAGCCACTTTTAATTGAATTTCCCCTTTCCAATTTTGTCCAGGGTACAGTGACAGCAAGCTAGCAGACAGTGGATCCTCTGCTCTGAGCACCCCGGCTGGAAACAAAGTATCAGTGTTGTTGGCTCCAATATCCTGATCTGTGTGACACTGATGCAAGAGGCATTCAGGAAATAATATACAAAAAAATATGTTACCCATAATTTTAAGGTTTTACAACGCAACGTCAGAAAAAACAATTAATAAAATCCTACTTCCCATGTCTGAGCATTTGTAAGACTGATTTAATGTCTTAATCTGACACTATTTAATACCAATTAAGGCCTATTTAGATTAAATAATTTAATACCTTTTAAGATTTATAATGGATTCATAGGAACCCTATGTGAGGATTTTCTCTGTTTTGTCTCTGCAATGTCAATATCTTTCAGTTTTGGTATACTGGTAGACAAAACAAAAAAAAGAAAAATGGAGTTGGCATTTCTTTTTTCTTTGTTTTACATTTTTAGATGATTCAGATTAAATTGATTGATTAAAAAATAACCCACAGATTCATTGATCATGAGGCCTTGAACTTTAAAGTTATATTAGTAAATCTGGATGATGTCTTGTTGTTAGTGTGTTAGTGTTGGCAGTGGGGAGAAAATCTCCAGCAGTAGAGGAAGCTAAATGACCGAGTGTAGGGGAAATTCCACAAATAGAAGCATAGCCCCATCTGGTGGAGAGTATGGCTAAACAGTCTCATACATGGTACTTGGAAGTTGGAATGTACCACACATACAAATACTGAATAGCTTTTATATACAGTACTTTGATATATATATATATATATATAAATATCAAAGTACTGTCAAAATTGCCAGTAGTGTTGCTCCAAAACTATATCATAGTACTCCGTGTGTTCTGTTGTGTTTAAAGCTGATAATCTGTGAAAAAGAACATGCTCCTCTGCACTTCATAGTGCTTCTGGTGGAAATTGCAAGAACCATGAAAACAACCAATCAGAGCTGAGGAGTCTGAACTGCAGTCAGACTGTCAAACTAGGCAGCACTGATCATACATGAATCAAGATTCTGTTACTGTATTGCCTATTTTATTACCTCAAATGTTTTCAGAAACATATTTTAGTGACTGTTTAGCTGTAACATGAGAAAGTTTGCTCCGGCCAGTGGGTGGTGCTTCGTTTTGGCTCATCTGTTCAAACATAGCGGCTGGGTCACAAACTTATTTACTCATTTAACAGATGAATTGTAATTAAAACATGTTTCTCAAAACATGTGAGGTGAGAAATAGACAATGCAGAAACAGAATCATAATTCATGTTTGATTAGCGCTGCTCAGTTTGACAGTTTGACCTCAGTTCATGAGCAGTGATTGACATGATTGGGAGCTATCTAAAAAAGGCATGTGACTGGCCAATGTCTCCTGTCTCAAACTAGATTTTCCTAAGCCTGAAGAAAAAGAGCCAAGATGAGGTGCAGAAGTTAAGTGTTATTTCAGACCACTTGAATTAAACCTTGCTTAAAGTTTATGATGGGATTTTTGCCCAGTGACACCTAAAGTAAACTGCATGCTCTAGCTTTAACTACTGTGTTTACAGTAGTGTTGTGTCTCATCCAGAGAAGAAAAACTACTGTAGCTATGTTGCTGGCATGAAAAAGAGGGGAGGACACAGATCAAGTACCTGACAGCCTCGGCCACATTGTTGGAGGTGTGTCCTGACAGGGCGTCATGTAGGTTCCTGATGAAGTAGTCTCTATACTCCTCAGGCAGAGCCATGAAGGTCCCGCCCATCACGATGAACTCCACCTTGTCAACACTGTGACCCAGCTGCTTCAGCTGCACATCACACAGAAAATACACAACTGACAACACTGTGATCTGGCAATACTGAGACATTTTAGAGATTGTAATTGGGAGTACAGTAAAGTGCAGTGAGGTACACTGAAATAATTTTCTATATTATGATTTATCAGAATATCTGGCAATATAAATTACAATTATACTTCAAACAGCAATTGCACATAAAACTGACTTCCAATGGCCAAAACTCAGTGAATCAGATGAGAACTTTGGCAAAGTGAGATTCAGATAGCACACACTTTCACACATACTGTTGCTTTAATGGATGGCTGCATTAGACTAATGTGGCCATAAATTAAAATAACTGCATAATTGGGGTCAGGTCATGATAGGCGGCTAAAAGCCATGACACCCATTACTGTGTACTAAATATGTTATCAATGCTTATCATTTATACATGTATGCAAGCAAAGACAATCACTGCACAGAAGCTAATTTGGGGAAATGGCAGTTTTAGCACCGTGTGACTATATAAAATATTTAACTGCAGTGTTGATTATGTTTTTGAGAATGTTTTTTTCTGGCATTGGTGTTGCAGAATTTAATAAAAACCCACATCAGTGCTGATTAGCAGCATAGAAACTGAATCATTCAAACAGTATTGTTTTAAATGTTTCTGCTTATTCTGCTGTGCTGACAAATGGCATGACTTACAATTTAAACATGCTGTCCTAAATTAACCAAAGGCACAAAGTAGTAATGAATCAACCTGCTGGACATTTCCCCATTTTTAAAATCATTCTAACTGATTCTGGGGATCTAATGAAGCAGTGTTTATTTTAAGATATTACAAACATTTTTTAAGAAGGCAGATCCACAGCTACTTAAAAGAGGCAGATGTGTCAGCAACTACATTCAATGGATTTTTGGTAATACAGAGCCAAGTCTAAATTCAGAGGCTAGTAACAAAAGCAGTTGGTGTATACCCTGCAGGGTTACACTGACCTGCTCCACCCGATGTCTGGTCTGAAGGTAGGGGTCATAACGTGCTCGGATTGCTCTCATGGATGTTGGCTATTAGAACGAAAGAGGGACAAGAAATGATTACAAACCAAGGTAAAAAATCTAAAGGTCAAAGTTCGCCCCAAAAGAAAGACTGTGATTTGACTTGAAACAGGATTTCTAACAAACAGGAAAATATTTTTCCCTTGATGACACAGTAAAACTCAACACTAAGTAATATAGCAAAGTTTTGGATAATGTCACAGTAGGCAGGGTAAATTTTAAGCCTGTCACAATACCACTTTATCGACTTATCGAGGTCAGAAAAAATGGTCGAGGTCATGTCAATATATCGTATGATATTGGCTCTGTGCTTGCACGTGTGTTTGTTTACATAAGAACGTCATAGTCATAGCATAAATAGCAGGCTTTTCCCGACCATAACAAGAATTGGGAGCAGCACCTAAACGTCTTTTCACAGAGTCTAAGCCGAAAACATTAACAAAACTACAATTACCACTTTGCAGCTGTATGCCCCCCACAAACCAGTCAAGTTGCACATACGGTTTTATATTAATGTCTATGAAAACATAGATGCTTTACACACAGAAGATCTATACTATCAGCACAGTATCAAGGTGGACACCCAAGATCAGTGTCATCAATTCAGTATCTCACCAAATGTCTCCCCTTCTGCTCCTGAGTTATGATATTAAATAATGGCCAGAAAGGTGCTTTTGCAGAACAATATGATGTCACAGTGAAGTTGACCTTTTGGGAATAAAACATTATCACTTCCATCACTATATCCTATTGAACATTTATGTAAAATTTGTGTATGAATTCCTGAGTTGTGGCCCAAAACATGTTTTGTGAGGACACAGTGACCTTGACCTTTGACCTTCATCCACCAAATTCTAATCAGTTCATTCTTGAGTCCACGTGGATGTTTGTGTCAAATTTGAGGAAAATCTCTCAAGGAATTCTTGAGATATGAAATTCACAAAATGAGATGGAAAATGATGCAGGGTCACAGTGACCTTTGACCACCAAGGTCTAATCAATTCAACATTGAATCCAGATAGATGTTTGTGGCAAATTTGAAGAAATTCCATCCAGGTGTTCTTGAGATGTAAAACAGGTCATCCTTAACTCAAAGTGGATATTTGTGCCATATTCAAAGAACCTCACAAGAATGAGACAATCGCAAGGTCACAGTGACCTTGGCTTTTGACCTTTGACTTCCAAAATCTAATCAGTTCATACTTGAGTCCGAGGGAACGTTTGTGCTATCACATTCATGAGAATGAGACAGTAGAGGTCACAACAACGTTGACCTATTACCCCCAAAATCTCATCAGTTCTTCCTTGAGTTTAAGTGGACTTTTGTGCAAGTTTTGAAGAAATTCCCTCATGGTGTTCTTGACATATTCCCAACTTTGGGACAGACAGGCAGATGGATGGGCAACCCGAAAACATAATGCCTCGACTCCAGCCTGGGGCCCTTTGCTGCATGTCACTCCCTCTCTCTCTCTCTCTCCCCCCCCCCCTTTCATGCTTGACTGTCCTATCGATTAAAGGCAAAATGCCCCAAAAAATATCGTAAAAAAAAAAAAAGAAAAAAAAGTGTGATTATTCTTAAGAAATTTAAGTTCATTGGTCTAAAAAAATCAACTAACGTCAGACAGATAACTGTAAGCAGCTAAGAAAGACAACAAGAATGTTTACTGTTTACTGATATCGTCTCATATTGATTACAGGCCCCTAAATTAAATCGACCTGAATTCATACAGACTTTGTGATATCAGCAAATATAGTATCGTTATTCAAAGAATCCATTGTATTGTGATAAAACTTGTTATTTACTCCCCTATAAGCTAACAGAATGGTGTTTACTGTGGCAGAATGAAACCACCTTACCTCATAGCCGGTGTAAGACTGTGTGGAGTACTCAAAGTCTGAGTCTGGTCCACCAGGACAGTAGCTGCCAGAGTGAAGAGTGAGAGGTGCTTTAAATATAACAAAAATAAAACAATCAACATGTGACTGTGAAAAACAAAGTGTTGTAAAGAAGCAATAACATCTGGAACCCCTCTTAATGGTTTTATCTACATCTCTTACAGGTTTGGTTCTTTGACCTGAACATGTACATGTGCTAATTAACACAGTCATGCTCTGTTCACGTCTACAGTTCAAAATTTTCAAATGTAAAAAATCTGCAGCAAAATCAGATATTCCCTAAATCTGTGAGTGTTTAGATTGGAGGACACTTACACACAGATATTTCCTGTGAAGCTGATGTGTGGACATCGATGTGGTTTGCACATCACAGCCACCACTGCGATCTGAAGAAAAGACAGAAGTATTGACTTGATTTACTGAATATAACCTGCATGAAAATAACTCTGACAATCACAACCACTGTCAGTGTGTTGTAGCTTTCATGACTTTCTTTACACTGTTTCATATTCCCAGAAAACAAAACCTTCATGTAGTTTCAAAGCTGAACTCCATCACCTGAGCTGACTGAATACATATTTGCAGCATCTCATCCGTTTGAATATTTATTAATCAAGAATGTGAAACAACTTTGCAATTTAGCACCAGACTCATAAGCAAATCACTCTACACATATTGCAGGGATGTTGCAGTGTCTATGAGAAGTTACTGTATTATTTAGTCTGAAGTTAATTCAAACAACTAATCCAAACAGCACTCTATGCACAAACTTAAACTGATTACAACTTTACAGAGCTCAGGATTTAACTGCTGATCCCAGGTCATAGTGATAGACAGGGACTTCATATGAGGACTACATACCCCACTGGCAGTCCGGATAGGTTTGGCCTTCAGTTTGGGCACCAGAGCACGACGGTACTGTGGTGGAACAGCAGCAATGATGTCTACCAATCGAGGCTGGGCTTCAAGTCCATATTTAGCTGAAGTCTTAGTCTTCACTCTTTCAGACAAACAGAATCATAAAAATAGTCTAGTGCATAATATAGGAGGTGAGCATCTTTAATTATTTGTAATCCTCCCATTAACATTAACAGACATACAAAGGCAATTTAAAAAAACTTAATACAAACTCTGCATCTGTGCACTATGCTGGGTTCTTGAGAGAATTTATCCAGCATCACTACTAGTTTATAATTCTCCTTCACTGCATTCAAATCACTGTAAGAAGTGGATGATTTAATAAAAAAAAATACTGTTTTATTTCTAATGTAATCTGTACAGAACATAGTTTTCCATCTTGCATGCAACTGTTATAAAAGGCTTGTGTGGTGTGTAACTAGAACTTAAAGGGGAACACCACCTAAATTAGGAATTCCTGGGAGAGTTCAATCAATATTTGAGAACATGAGCTACTCTCACTCAAAACTAGAGGGAAGGAAGTTTTGAACCTGCGATGTCATAGGTCATGTGATGTCATACAAAGTCTTGAGCTGTTCCATAGACAATGAACACAGAATGTTTGTTTTCTTTTTCCATACCAAAATGAGCTTTATTCTTTTGTACTGTTCTCAGCTCTGAAACAGAAAATGTAGGGTGCATTCATAAATCCAATGTGATGCTCTACACTAAAATGAGAGCCCTGTTGTTCTACGAAACAGAGCGTTCTATTTCTACATGAATTAAAGAACAGTTAATTCGGTCACACATTCACTCCACTTGGTGCTGTGCTGCTCCATCTCCCCAGACACAGAGCTCTGCTGCTCCGAGAGTCTGGTTTTCTGGATAACCGAACGCTACATTCCAGCAGTGCTCTGAATTTATCAACAGTCCAGGTTTTGCCAGAGTGTGCTCTAGCACTTGGAGTGAGCATTTCTGAACGGACCCACAAGTGTTTGCTCAGAACATTACCCTGGGCGGTCTCAGTGTCATCTAGAACACCTTTCCCCACTCATTATCTATGAAACAGCTCCAGACTGGATACCCTATCCCAACACAAATGTATGTTTTAGTATTCTAGCTTTTGTGGTTTTGGATTTGGGAGAGGGTTGTTCATTTTTGCTAATATTTTTGGACTGTCTTAAACCATAGGAATAACATGTACGAACTTAGAAAATGGGTGAAGTTACTCTTTAAATAAACAGGTTATCACGGGCTGAATAAGTACACTGGCGAAGACTTACTTGTTAAGATTGATGTCTTTGCCTTCTTCGTGGGCTTCAACCAACTGCTTGATGACATCAGCAATGGTCATCATCATCAGCTCAGCTCGGCTGAGATCACCTAACAAAGATAATCAATATAGTCACATTACTTTTTCTTTAGTAACGTAACTTCAGTGCAGATACGTGGAGTTCAAATTACTGAACCTACTAGCTAGCTAGACAATACATTACAGATCATTACTGATTATCAAAATATATTGTCGGTAACTGGATGAATTCAGACTTTACCACAGAGGATTTTCAAAATACGTACGACTCGCTTTTAAAATTGAAAGTTATACACAACAGCATTACGTTATTACATCATGTCATGGGATTAAAAAACTTGCAGTTAGCATTAGCAACAAGCTAAAGCCAGACTTGCCAGTTTAGAGAGTCATTTCAGACATTCTTAAGACATTGTCACACACTCACTTTTTTTCTTTGGCTTCCCCATTTCTTCCTTTAGGCACACAGTTCAAATTCCAACGGGTGGACGCTGGTTTGCGGGATTACATCTGTTTTTAACCCGGGAGGACTGTCAGAGAGAGTAAACAACTCCACGTTGCGTCCAAACACGGCTTCTGTCGTACGGCAGTTAAAATTGTCGTAAAATATCGTAAATGCGCCTTTACCCGTATTATTGAAGTTTCTAAAAGGTTCCGATGGTAAAACATTGCGACAGTTTTACCGCTGTTGAATCCATTTAAAATAAAATCAGCTGATGATATTTTACTGATATTTTTCTTAGGGACTGTTGTCTACTTAACAGAGCAGGGGGTTGGCTGGAGTGTGACTTCGTTTTTTATGGGGTATGATTCTCCCTTAAAGACCAAAGTCAACTTACTGTAAAATTTAAAAAATATTTGGATAATATTTTATCATTTGCAGGATGATGAACCAACACACTGTTGAGAAAAATAAATGGGTGCAGTAGTACATTTTGTTGTCATAGCACAAAAATGAAAATCTTGTAAAGGCCCCTGTCTGGGGCAAGAGGGCTCTGTACTACAAATACACTACATATGAGCTGTTTGTGTTTTTTCTTGTTTTTTAATAAATTGAATTACTTTCCCCACAAATCCCCCATCATCATGTATTTATATCAAAGCTTTTCATATGCACCTTAATATAAATACAAAGATCACAATTTTTCAGTGATTAAAAGTTAGTTATCGGTTTACCCTAACACGCTTCTGGTGGAATAATTAATCAGTCAATCAATCTTTATTTATAGAGCACTTTTCATACAATAAAATGCAGAACAAAGTGCTTTACATGTTAAAAGCAGATCCCCCCCATCCCCAACAAATCCCCCACAGACCCCCTCACCTCCCTCACCCCCCCTCCCGATGTGATAAAAAAGAGGAAAAATAGAAGAAATATAAGATGAAAAAATAAGGCTAAGCACGGAAGAACCAGAGAGGAAACACCATCACATGGAGCCGTCCGCTGCAACCTGGCTGCCAACAGGAATCCGCTTCCCGGCTCAGGCAGGGGAAGAGCCCAGCGTCACTGCCAAAAGGTGATGGTCTGAACCCTCCACCCCACCAGGGGAGAGCAGACCCCAAGCCAGCACCACAGCAGCCAGAACCAGTGGAAAAAAGCATGGGGCCTAGGATTGAGCCTTGGGGCACACCGCATTTTATTTCATGGACCCCTGAGGAGTAGGTAACCATCCTTACCATAAATTTTCTATCAGTGAGATAGAAGTTGAACCATTTGAAAGCAGTGCCAGACAGGCCAACCAGGTGTCTAAGTCTGTTTAAAAGAATAGGGTGATCTACTGCATCATAGGCTGCACTTAGATCCAGTAGCACCAGGACTGAAATCTCGTGTGAGTCCAAACTGCACCTGAGATCATTTACAATCTTTATGAAGGCTATCTCTGTACTGTAGTTCATCCTAAAACCAGACTGATATTTCTCAAAAATGTTGCTTTTAGTTAAAAAGTAATTCAATTGAATAAAAACAAGCTTCTCTAAAATTTTGCTTAAGAATGGCAGATTGGATACTGGTCTGTAGTTATTCAAAATATCACGATCGAAATTGCTCTTCTTCAGGAGGGGCTTCACAACTGCTGTTTTAAAGGCTGCAGGAAAGGTGCCTGTCTGAAGAGAGCAATTCACAATGTTTAAAAGCTCACTTTCAAAGGATCCATAAAATGTTTTAAAAAGTGATGTGGGGATTGGATCTAAGAAAATCTAAGAATGGAGCAATTAAGATAAATTATCACCATTCACTATAACACAGCCATTTGATGAATGTGTTGAGAGTAGACTTAGTGCCATATATTGGTTAGGAGAGGAATTAAGGGGGTAGGGGAGTCTTACCCTATATTTTTACATTTTTCCCAAAGCCTCCCTGAGTGACTGGCAGAACATGCGTGAAACTCTTTTTTTTGCCATTTTTAGCCTTTAATATATAGGACAGACAAGTATGAAAGGGGGAGAGAGAGAGAGAGAGAGAATGACATGCAGCAAAGGGCCACAAGATGGAGTTGAACCCGGGCCCCTGCGGCAACAGCCTTGTACATGGGGCGCCTGCTCTACCACTAAGCCACTGACGCCCCAGATTAGTTGTTAGATTTTTAAAACTTACACTTTAATGTTTGAAAGTTAAAAGTTGAACACAAAATGCTTGGGTTGAAAAAAGCCTAGGTTTTTCACTCTTGTTGTGACTGTTGGTTAGCCAGGAAGGATTACTGACCAAGCCTACCAGGCACAAGCCCAGGGGCCTCCTGGCCCTCACCTGCTAAATGTCTCTCAAATAAACATGTACTGACCAGAAAAAAAGATTTAAAAATCACCTGACAGAGATGCAAAGGAACTGCAAAGAGACACAAAATAACTACAAAAGGTGAAAAACAATCACTATGTCTCTTAGTGGTTGTTGTGCACCTTTTATTTTGTGTCTCTTTGCAAAATGACAAAAAACACACTAAATTACCTCTTAGAGACACATAATTACCTCTTAGAGACACACAACGACTAACAAGAGATGACTACAAAGAGATGCAAAATAGCACAAGAAGAGGCTATAAAAGCCACTATAATTTTGTGTGTCTTGCCTCTATATAGTGGGGGTCCTTTTGCATATCTTTGCCCAGGGGCCCACTGTCTGCTAATACACATTGGTAACTTTGTGCAAATGTCTATTTTGTCTATTTGTCAAATTCTATTTTGCCCCAAATTTTAAATGAGACGTAGGCTACATTAAAGTGATTTTGATGACAAACCACTAGTTTAACCTCAGATATGGTTGTTTTTTTGCTTTTTTTTCCCAGGTTGACAGTGTTCTTCCGAAATGTCAAAATCCAGAGATAATTACTGCTTTTCTTTGCATGTTTTCTTTGAAAATCTATAGTAAGATCAATATAAAATACAACCATTTAAATTTGTATGCCCCTGCCCTAAGCCAAAATAAAAAACATTTCCACCAGCCTCTCCCCGCTCACAAGTAACGAACGGTCCCTTAACACCTCCGGGACAAAACTCCTTGAACGAAAAGCGCAGACTTGTAATGCATGCGGATCCACACCGTGGCGCTGAATTCCCTCTTAAACCAACCGTGCAAGTGTGTGCAGAGCTGCAGAGCGCGACTGAAGGCTCCCTAAATCTCACAGCAAATCCCTTTAGCTGCGAGCTGACATGGCTTGACTGGTCTCTGAGGGAAGTTTCAGGAAATGCAACAGGTGGAACAGCCGAGGGAATGAACTGTGTACTGTCGTAAGTGACTTACAAATAGAAACCAGAGTTTACAGTACACTGTACCGGGGTCACTTGCATTTATCAGCGGTCATTATTAAAACATTTGCTTTGACCCCTCTTTGTATGTTCTCTCGTTAGCGTCCCAGGCTAGCTGCTGTGTTTAACGTTCCTTAAAGGTGCCTGTGGGAGTCCGACAGAGAAACAACTGCGCACTCTTCCACACGGTCAGTTCACTTCTTTTGACAATATACGTCATACTTTAGCTTGTTTTGTCTTCGTGGAGGTTTTTACAAGCTGCTTGGAGTTAGGTTGAAGTATAAATAGTGTTAAAATAAGCAGGAGTTAGTAGCTTACTGCGTTTATTTATAGATATTTGTATCTCACGCACTGAAGCTGTGTTCAGGTGTAAAACGAGTGTAAGATTTTGTTTCAAGAACATGCAAAGTATACTGGTTTCACAGGTGTCCATTCATTACTTTGGCACAGGTCAGGTGGCATAATGGATGATAACAGCCTCAATGACTCCAATGTAAAGGTCGCTGTTCGTGTGCGACCTATGAACAGGAGAGGTGAGTATATTAAATGTCAGAGGACCTTGTGACACATTTAGCAGTTATGAGTTGGACCATGCAGCCGCTATTAGCCTGTTTTTCAAGGGTCAAACAAAGGCAGTTTTGAACAACTCTGCCCAGCTCCAAAGGGGCTCTGTCAGTTTGTACAGCCAGGGTTAATTTGTAGTTTTAGACAAACAATAGCAGCTTAATTTCTGTCTTTTACAGTATGTTTCTCCCAGTCAGGCTCTGAAAAGGTATTTTCTACCCCTCTCTGAAAAAGTTTTGGCTCAGGTGCTGTGGGAGTAGAAATGGAAGAATATGGAAGGGACTATAATACATACAGTGTCATGTTTAATGCTGAGGAGGACTGACATGTCTGCTGACAAAAGTTTGTGTTGCTGAACAGCAGCAACATCCTCTAACTTACCTTTAATTTCATGGAAGATATCGCCTTTCCAGTAAGGTTTTCACAAAGGTTTTTAAAACGACAAATGTGCCTAATTAAGCGTAACAGTGGAAAACCTAACAACACACTTGCCCTAATTCCTGCTCTGACAGGAAGTTCCAGCACTGTCCCCGCCTTTAAAACCTTGTACAAGAGTTAGGAATGAGGAAGAGTAGCTGTGACCCTGCTTTTCCTTATAGTCTGCTCAGAGAGTACTGAAGCGGTTTTAATGTTTGCACAGGCAAGTCCTGGATGAATCACCATCAATAAAACAATTTCCTGCCTCTCCATGTTGTGCTGTTTGTGTTCCGATCACGAGGAGCTGGCACACACACAGTGTATGCCACCTGTTATTCTGTGATGACAGTTGTGTCAGTGACTACCAAGTAAAGTTATGATGACCAGTGCATACAGTACATGCTCTTTAAACTGTTCAAATAGTACATTAAAATAATTTGGAGAACCTTTTTGCCAAAACAACTTGGTCCACTCTACATTTCACAGTTGTTTTTGTAGGTCCAGAAATTACTACATTAGACCAGTTAACCTTACAACAGTCTGGTGCCAATAGAACTGCAGCGAAAAGCACATTATTCATGTTTTTAAAAAACAAAAAACAAAAAAAACCCATTCATTTACTCAGTGACTTCTGTTTCAATCCAGAAAAAGACCTAAAGACAAAATGTGTGGTGGAGATGGAGGGGAACCAGACAATTCTACATCCGGCTGTTGCCAGCGTGAACAAAGG